TTTATATAAAGCCAATTTCATTAATTTCGCTTCATTTGTATCACCATTAATATTGCCTGTTGTTGCAAAATTTCTTATAGCATAATAATCTTCAAATGTCACCGAATAATACGCCTTTTGTTCATTATAATCGTTAATTATATTTTTCAACGTTGTTCCTTGTTCTATTCTATATCTCTCTCTATAGGTGTACAAAAATTTAATTCTCTTTTCACCATCAAAAATTGTTATATTACTATTTTCAAAACGTACATTGTTTCTTAATTTATTTAAAAGACCAGTATTGTCAATTATATTAATTTTACTCCAATTTGAATTTAAAAAATTTTTATCCTTTAACCAATTTTTAATAAAGTAAATTAAAGTCTCATCGTTGGGAAATATGTAATTATTCACAATATCACGAAATTGTTCTTTAATATCATTGTTGTTAATTTTTAAACTATTATTAAAAAATTGTTCCACATTCTCAATGTAACGTGTTCTTGTAACAAAACGTTGTTTTCTTAGACAAAAATAAGAATTATTCATTCTTTTAAAATATTCATTATCATCACATTTTTCATTATCATATTGATAATTAGATATACCGGCAAAAAATTCATTTGTTTTCTTATTTTTTGATGGAGCAATTAATATTTCATTTTCAGTAAATTTATAACCATAACCAGTATTATTATTTAAACTATGTATAAATAATAATTGATTTCCCTTTAATCCAATAATTAATTTTTTATTTACCGATTGCAATAATTGAATTATATTATTAAGTATCTTCTTGATTTGAAATTGATAACTAATTATTATCTCTTTCTCCAAAATTTCAACAATTGTTGTCACTAATTTTACATTTTTATTATTAATACACGCGAATTCCAATTTTGGTTCCTCTAAATGTAGGGAAAATTGATTAATTATTATTTGAAATTTTGATAATTTATTAGTTTCTTGTATAAATGTTTCATCTATTAGATTATTAATTGTATTTTTCAAAAATATTGTTTCTATTGTTGTACCCAATGAAGATAAAATAGATCGTGTATTTATGTTCGTTATAAATGTTGATATATCTTGGGGATGAAATTTAAGGAAAAATTTTAAATCATTTTTTTCACATATATGATTTTTCTCGTTTGTTAATAAACAAGGATATGATGGTACTAATGATAATCCAAATTCTTTCCACCATTCCACGGTTGAATTATTATTATACAAATAACGTAAATATGATTTTAATCTTTCTTTCTTATATTTCGTTAGTTGTTTATAAAATTGTTGTACATCATCATCGGAATATTTTAAAACTATACGATTTAATTTATTAAAATTAATATTAAATAATTGTGGATCATCAGATTGTTTAATAAATCTAATTGTATAATTTTCTCGTATTATTGCATAATATTCGATAATTTTTTTATTAGGAAAATAAAATTCAAGTAAATCGTATGATAAATATTGAGAATTTGTAAAATCACCATATAATACACGATCATTGGTAACGAGCATTGTTATCATAATATCATTAAGTTGTACATTTATTAAAGATTTTTTAATTGATTCCTGTATTCTCCAATCATATCGTTCGTAAAAATCTCCAATTTTTCGAATTTGATTTAGAAATATTAAATTTTCATTTGTTAAATTAAATTTTTTTAATGTAGAAATACTCCAAAAAAACGAAAATCCTAAGTGCATTTTATATGTATAGTCCTTTTGTAATTGGTCTTTTATTTGGTAAAAAGCATTATTTAGATATTGGAAAAAATTATTAAAAGCAATGTTCCAATGATGTGGTTGAAAAATTATATTTGTTATTGTTTCATTTCTAATTGTTTCTTCATTACGTACATAATAAAAAAGTGCAGGAAGGGCAAAAAATTTTAAACTCAAAGAATTCATTTCCTTTGAGAAAATTAAATTTTGAATTATATGACCCACTGTTAAATACTCATGAAAACTAATCTCTTCAATAGTAGAATTTTCACTATTATCTCGATAATAGGGATAATTGATTTTTCCAAGACGAAGATACATTGAACCAATTTGTGCAAAAATATAATCAAGAGATAATAAATTCAAATTTGTATTTGGTTGGGGAAAAAGTGGTAATATTATATCCTTGTATATTCTATTAACTGCTAAATCAGTTAATTTTGAATTTACACCGTATTCATTTTTAAATATTGCATTTTTTAATGTTTCCTTAATTACTATTAATATATTATTATATTTAAAATTTTTTTTCTCACGTATTGCCTCTGCCAAAAATCCATAAATATTTCCATATTTCTCAAATACAAATGAACTAATTATATAATCAAACATTGTATTAATAAAAGTGATATCAAAATTTTCATTATCTTGTTCTCCATACAAATCACTGCCTTGTAATAAATTACGAATTAATTTTTCTAGTTGAGAAATATTATCACGATTATCTTCTAAATATTCATAAAGTGCATTAATAATTGGTATTTGTTTATTTTGATCAATTTCTTTTAAATAATTTTCGATAAATAAAAAATCACTTAAAATATTCAAATAATTAATTATTGGTATAAGTTGTACAGTTGATAGAGGATTTTGTTCAATAATTTCGTTCATTTTGTCTTATTTTTTTTTGTGATATTTAATAATATTCCAATAGTTTAGTATTTAATTTCAATGCATTAATTCCTGAAAATAATTAAAATTATATATAATTGGAAAAATTTGATAAATTTATTTAAAACTGGTTATAATATGATTAAATAATAAATATAAAATTTTTCATACCTTATATTCTATAAAAAGTCGTAGCGTTAAGAAAATATGCTCTCTCAAGTGAAAGAGTAAACCAAAGAGTAAACTATATATTGTCGCTTTTAAATGTCATAATTATTAAGCAATATGATATTTAAACAACTGGTAAATTATTGTTATAAATTTTCCATTATTATCATATATATATATAGACATATGTTTTTGAGACGCATGGACATAAAAGAATTTTTTTATACTTTTCAATTGACAGAATTCCATTATCTAAAATTTACCTTGGAATTTCGATTTCTTTGAATAATTAATTAATATTATTATTATTATGTATTTAATTAATTATTAACTAATTATTATTAATTCCATTTAACCTAATTTAGCCGAATTTTTATTTAACAAATTTTATGTAACCGAATTAAATAATAATTTAAAGAAATATTAATTCGACTAAAAGTAAATTTTAATTAAAAATTTTAACAAATTAATTTTAGAGCATTTATGAATTGATTGATACCTAAAATAATGAACTGTTAAAAGTTTTAATAAGATTTAAAATATTTTTTAAAAATTAAATTAAAAAAATTGTCAATAATTTACCATTAGTTATAGTTTAAAATTAGTTTTTTAAAATAATTTTAAAGATCTAATTTTATGGGACAGGGACAATATAAAGTTCAGAAGAAGAATAGTATCTTCGTACTGTTAGCAAGAGGGAGAAAGAGAGAGAGAGAGAGAGATTTTTTTTCTTTTGCATTGAATAGTGCAGGAGCATGAAAAAAGGGATTATCCACACCTGTATTGTAGAATTTTGTGAATATAAAAGGAACAATGTCATTGTTGTGGCAAGTGCTAATGCATTTTGTATACATTTGGATGAGGACATCAGAAGATACAAGGAGTCCTTATATACAAGTTTAAAGTGTCTCTCTAGACCATAGTCACACCCCATGGATTCTTCCCTTATATAGAAAAACGAACCCTCCATAAAGGATATTTTCCCAGGCTAAGGCACGTTGCACACTATCCGATTTGTGTCGGACGACGAAAAGTCGGACGATCTTTTGTCGGACGAACGAGCTTTGCACACTATCCGATTTTTGTCGTACGACATTTGATCATCCTACGAAAACTTCAGGTATGCGAAGAAATTCTTTAAGGTATGATTTCAGTCGCACGTTAGCCAGAGTTCTGTGTGCAGCAGAGTATTATTATAATTTGATATTTGCTTTTAAAAAATGAATATTAAAAATATAGTTGTCACAGCTTGTCTGCTACGTCGTAAAAATCGGAAACTACCTGAATCTATGAGCCTAATGATATTTTAATTATGGAGTTAACAAACATATCTTTTCTGAAAGCTGTTCAGTATCAGAGAGTATTTTACCTCTATGGTTTAGAAAAAAAAATTAAATTATATATTGTTTAAAAAATTACTTTGTTTACACAAATTGTTATAAACAAATAAGAAAATTCAAATTTTTCTAATAAAGTCACGTAGAATTGGAAAAACTACCTGATTATATAAACATCGGACGACAAATTGTCGGATAGTATGCAAGCATCTATTGCTTTTCATAAGAGACTGCTTTGACGACATCATCCGACAGTCGGACGTTGTAGTCGATTCTTCCGGCAGCACAACGACATTTTGTCGGTCCGATTTTAAATCGGAAAGTGTGCAAAGCCCTATTTACTTCTTCAGTCCACTGAAAATTTTTTGTCGTCCGATTTTTTGCCGTCCGACACAAATCGGATAGTGTGCAACGAGCCTAACAGAATATTTTTGGAAGTGAAAATAATATTTGTAGATTTCTTCATAGGGCTTCCCAAAGGTTTGTGGGTGCAAATACCCACGAAAACCTATATTTTACATTAGATTTCTTTAAATTTAACATCAAATAAATATATTATATAAAATTTCATTTTCCAAAAAATTTTTAATATAATTATTGTAATTTAAGGTTTTGATTTAATAATTAATTGCAAAAAATAATTTTAGTCTCGATTTTAGTAGAATAAATTGTATTAAGAATATTTTAATAATTACTTTTTTTATAAAAAGAAGAATAATTTTAAAAAAACTTAATATTTCGTCGCTATTCAAATATATTATAATATTATACAGCCATCTATTGTATCAATATATTTGAATAGCTATATGTAAAATTGTCTTTCAAATAAAATATGTTTAGTCATTATAAAAAGTATTAAAAAAAATTTAAAAAGATAAGATTATAAAAAAATTTTAAATAAATTTCATTTTATTAAATAGAACTTTTATTTTAACGCAGAAGGGATATTTCATTTTAATGATACATATATCGCAGGTATGACATAATATTATTTAGCTTATATTGCACTTAAAATATATTTTTAATCAATTAATTAAAAATTATACTAAAGTTATTCAATAATTTTCAATATTAACAGATTTTTAAAAGGAGTATCAAAATTAAATTAAACATACTATTGTGATCTAAAATTGAAATTAAAATTCCAAAATGGAGGATACATTTTTTCCATCAAGTCCTATAGCGGCTGTACAATTTATACCAATTATCAATTATTTGAATATATTAAGTGATTTTTTATTCATGGAAAATTATTTGGATGAAGTTAATCAAAATAAAAAAATACCAATTGTTAATGCACTTTATGAATATTTAACAGACAATCGTGATAATGTTGATCAAAAAGAAAAATTAATTCGACAATTGTTAAAAGATAGTGATATGTATGGCGAAAAGAAGTCTGAAGAATTTGAAATAACTTTCGTTAATACAATGTTTGATTATATAATTAGTTCACTTGTATTTGAGAAATATGGAAATATTTATGGATTTTTAGCAGAGGCAATTCGTAAGGAAAAAATTTTTAAATACAATCATACATTAATGGTGATTAAGGAAACATTAAAAAATGCAATATTTGAAAATGAATACGGCTCTAATTCGAAACTAACTGATTTGGCAGTTAATAGAATATACAGCGATATAATATTACCACTTTTTCCCCAACCAAATACAAATTTGAATTTATTATCTCTTGATTATATTTTTGCACAAGCTGGTTCAATGTATCTTCGTCTTGGAAGAATAAATTATCCCTATTATCAAGATAATAGTGAAAATTCTACTTTTAAAAAAGAAATTAATTTTCAGGAATATTTAACAGTGGGACATGTAATTAAAAATTTAATTCATAGTGAAAAAATAGATTCTCTAAATTTGAGAGTATTTGCTTTACCTGCTCTTTTTTATTACATTTCTTCAGGGGAAAATATTAGTAAGAAAAAAATAACAAATATAATTTTTCAACCACATCATTGGAAGATGGCTTATCAAAATTTGTTTGAATACCTGAGGAGTAATTTTTATCGAATTAATGATCAATTACGAAAAGATTATAAATATAATATCCATTTAGCATTTTCGGATTTTCAAAGTCTTACTTCAATGGCTCAATTTTTATTAAATTCAGAATGCAAATTTTTAAATGAAGATAATCTAAAATTCATACTTTCTGTTTATATTGATAATGCCAAAAGTTTTAAATGTCAATGTGGAATTGATTTGCGTGATATACAAGATTGGTTTCAGAATAAAATTCATAATATTGGTGAATTATATGGAAAATATGAATTAGAAATAATTCAACGGGTTTTTAGTGAATTTGCAATAGAAGATGTTTCTAGTACTGAAATAACAATACTGTATACAAATAATGAATTTAATAATTCAGAATATTTATTCTATGATTTATTTGAATTTTATTTTTCTAACAATCAAACTTACAACTATTATGCATTAATACGAGAAAATAATACTGTAAAACTTATTAAAGAGACAGATGATGGTCTACTTTTTCGCAAAAAACTTCATTTATCAATATATAAATTAATACAATCGGGTCATCGAATTATTTTAAAGTACAAAAATGAAACCATAAATATATTTTTTGAAGAACTAATGAAACATAAGAAACAACGATTCAAGAATTATTTACGCAATAATAATGCACATTCAATGAATAATGAATGGTGGAAAGAATTTGGATTATCACTAATGGTATCATATCCTTGTTTATCAAATATCGACAGTCAGCATATCGTTGAAAAAAAAAATTTGCGATAAAAATAGTCTAAAATTTGTCAATCTATTTCAAGAAGATATTTCTTTAGATTTAATAAATAAAAATACAGAATCTCTTTTATTATCATTAGGTACAACTATTAAAACAATACTTATGAAAGATGCAATAAGTATAATAGTAGACAATACACATGGTAATAAGTCAAAAATAATTAGAAATCAATTAGTTTATGATAAATTATCCGTACACATTGAGGAGCCTGCTTTTGTTTCAATTTCCACAACTTTAAGTGATTTAACATTATTGTTAACAATTGTTGATAATTTAGAAAAAAATATTAACCAAACTTTTACATCTATCAAGGAATTACTAAATAAAATGAAACTATTAAAAATCAGTAAAATTAAACAAATTACTCCTTACAATAATATAATTCTATTTGTAAAAACTGGTGTAAAAAATGCAGGTTATGGTTATAAATTTACAACCATCAATGTAAGAATGGACACATTTTTATCTGCACAATTGAGAACTGGATATGAATTTAAAGACGAAATATTTATTACATCAGCATATGATTTAGTTAAAAAAAAGAATATTTACACTAAACTAAATACTACAACATTGGAATATGATAATAAACTTGTTTATGAAATTAATAATCAATTTCGACGAAAATCAACAACAATTGAATTTTTTGGCATATATTTAAATAAAAATATTACTCTGAATAATTGTGATAATTATGATTTTTCGGAAAAAATAAGATATGATGTTTGCTCGAGGTATTGGCGTTTTATTGAAAAATCATTTGAAAAAGAAAAAGAATTTGAATTATTCAAAAATAAAACAACAAATAAAGCATCTAATCAAGAGATACGTAGTGGATTGAAAAAATTCACATTTTTATTTAATAATTCAACTGCTCTTGAGTATTTTGTTGACAATTGGGTATGGGATAAAAAATTTGTAGATTCTGATTCACTGTAAAAAATTTTTTGGTGAAATTTCCCAAAAATTCTGGTGACGCAAATTTGGAGGGCTTTTTGTGGAGTATTACCCAAAATTTTTTGGGGAAAATTTTCCTCAAATTTTTGTGGATATTTCTCAGATATTAGTAAATATTCCCCAAAACTTTCTGGGGAAAATTTTTCACAAAAGTTTGTGGATATTCCCCAAAATTTTTTTGTGAATGTTTCCCAAGCTATTTTGGTGAATTTTATCCAAAATTTTGTGAATGTTTTAAAAATATTGGTGAATATTTACCAAGATTTTTTGGTGAATTTTCTCCAAAATTTTGGGGTTTTTTCACAAATATTAATGAATGTTTCCCAAGCTATTTTGGTGAATTTTATCCAAAATTTTGTGAATGTTTTAAAAATATTGGTGAATATTTACCAAGATTTTTTGGTGAATTTTCTCCAAAATTTTGGGGTTATTTCACAAATATTAATGAATGTTCCCCAAGATTTTTTGTGAATTTTATCCGAAATTTTGTGAATGTTTTAAAAATATTGGTGAATATTTACCAAGATTTTTTGGTGAATTTTCTCCAAAATTTTGGGGTTATTTTACAAATATTAATGAATGTTCCCCAAGATTTCTTGTGAATTTTCCCCAAAACTTTTTGTGAATATTTCACAAATATTAGTTAATATTCCATAAGATTTTTTGGTGAAATAACTCTAAAATTTTGTGGATATTTCACATTTATTAGTTAATATCCCTTAAGAATTTAGTTAATATTTCACAAATATTATTAAATATGCCCCAAGAGTTTTTGGTGAATTATTTTATTTTCTTGTTATTTTTGTATTGGTAAAGTTTAAAAACAAATTTCTTTGGAATAAACAGAAATGAAGAAACGTGTTTGAACAGAATTTAATTTATTTTTTTAAAATTACTTTGAAAATATATCTATTATAATAATATAATATTAAGATAGTAACAAAATGTAGACTTAATGAATTTATATGTTTTATACATATATATTAAATTTATGGAGTATAAAAATTGGAATTGAACTCAACAATGTTGTCGATTAATTTTCCCGCCTTTGCATCTCTGCATATTTTTGTGGACTTCTTTGTCCACCGTTTGTGTCCTTCTGTCGGATTAATATCTAACAGCATTCTGAAATGTTTATTTATGGCTAAATTAAATACAAATAGTGATTGACAAAGATGTTAATACTAAGAGTTATTTTTATGTATGATGTAAAGTACTACATTTAAGATAAAATTTATTCAAATTTGTTCTGTATAGATATGAAGACAAAATTAAGAGAGCAGAGAGTAAAACTTACCTCTGGACAAACTCTAAAGATGATGTTTTTCTTTCAGGGTAATTATATCCGAAAACATAGAAACAAAGTGTTAATAGTAAAACTCCCTCTAATACAGTATCGGCCTCTAAAACTTTCTCCCTCTCAATGAAGATGAGACATTCGCATTTTTCATCATAAAGTGAGTTTCCTGCAAAAGTAATTATACGTTTAATAAAAATATGAGTAATGATTTAAAGTACAGTAAATTGTAAATTTTATACCATATTTACCTTTTATTATTAATGATGGGCGTATTGAATCTGCTTTGTCCTTGATTTTATCTTCAGTAGCAAAAGAATCCTAAAAATAGAAAAAAATATTAATAAATTTTATTATACATATTTTTAAGCCCCAAACATAACAGATTTTTTTATACTTACAACTAAAATGTAGAGCTCATCCTCTTTAAACTTTTTTGCAATAAGAGGCAAAAAAACTAATGTACTTGCCATATTACTGGCGAGATTTTCATTTGCTTTCTTTGCCTCACTTAAAATATCTCTCATTGGTGCAACAGCCTCAGGAAAAGATTTTTTTTTATTAAATTGTCCACAATAGCTTCTAAAAAAAACTATTATTTCTGGAATCTTTAATTGTATATTCTTATTCCAAACTTCTTTAATATTTTGTCCAAGCAAAGTGTTGGCATGCGAAAGAAAATACTTTTTTTCCGTTAGGTAAGGCCAATGATTTCTTAAAATATCCTCCAGAACTATTTTATTTACATCCCTTTTATTTATCATTATTCTTTGTGATGGATAAGTGTCACTCATTAATGACTCTATTTCTTCTGATGTACCTTCATCTGATCTTTTGTAATTTAACAAAATACTCTTCTTACTTAATTGGGACTCATCAGTTTCATTTTCAGAAAGGGATGGCTCAAAAGCGACACAGCCATAGCAGTCTTGATTATGACCATATCTTGATGTTTTGGTTTTTTTCCGGGTTTCCAGCTCCTCTGCATTATCTATTGACTCACTCCTTTTGCGCTTTTTGCTGATTGTTTTTAGAAATCTAGAACATTAATAAAATAATTCTTAGAGAAAAATTCTCGCTTAAAAGAGAATTTGATTAATAATTATTTGCACATACTTCAAACGTTCATAAATCCTAGTCCTAAGAGAGTCTATTCCATCAGAATAAATAGAATCCTCGCCATTTTTCCAGGTTCGTTTTTCAAAAGCCTTAGGAAAACGAGTAACTATTTCTTTAGCCATACGCAAGGCATCTGAATAAGTTGTGGTCTTTACTTCTATCATAAAATCTGCAACATTTCTTATTAATTGAAGCTCTTTAGAACATGAATTGTACGGAACATCATTAAAACCCTTTGGCGTAATATTTTGCCATTTTAATGGTGTCATACAAGGTTCTTCATTAGTTAAGGTACTGTTAGAAGTCGATGGTGTTGGAGATTCTGAAATAGTTGTTATTGTTACCTCATCTGTAAAAAATATGTTCAGTTATTCATACTTTATATAAAAGTCTATCTATGTACAATGTTAACATACGCTTATATAAACAGGTATTTATTATATAAAAAATTAACAATTCTTTAAAAGATACTTGATTAATTTAGAAAGCACAATTCATAATTAAAATTTTGTACCCTTTATGATAGAAGATTGCAGTACTTCAGTTTCACTAACTTGGGATGAAGAAATTTTCGATATCCATTCTTCATCTTCCTTCAAAATCATTAGTACTCCCGGAGTATGAGTAATAAATTCAATCAGTTCATAAAAATCTTCAAAGTCAGTTCCATCGTCGTCTAACACAAACTGAAAGAATAATCCATGTATATGATAATAAAAGAGTTATTAATTGTTTCTATAAAATATTCAATACCTTATATTTAGAATCAAGTGGAAGATCTAAACGTTTACAAGCCCTAGAAATTAATTCTTCTTCTGCGGAAACCCTTATAGCCGCTATCTTTTTTCTCTGTAGTGTTGTTATCTTCAAAAATTCCATATTAAAACTAAAAAGAAAAAATTTTTTTGCTTTATCAATTTTGAAATATTTCTTTTGTATATATGCGATATAATGTTATAATATTATTACATAATAATCCATATAAAAACTATGACACAAAAGTTATTTATTTTAATATCCAATAATTGTTATTTACTCACTTTATAAATAAAATCCATAGTTTTCATTTATCTTTTCAGACAGTTATTATTATTATTATTATTATTAATAAAATGACTAATATAAAAGTGTTATTATTACATATAAAATTTATCAAATTGAAAAAATCCTTAATGATCTACATTCGTATAAAAGAATAACATTAAAACAAATTATAATGGAGTTGCTACAAGTCCATGATTAATCTTAACATACGATACTGTATCGTGGATATAAACATCGAAAGATTTACTTTCCAGTAATTTACTGATTGGAAGACATTCGTATCGGATAAAGTTTCCTAGTTCATGTAGTCGAGAGCTTGGTTGAAAAGTAGTTTTTAATATTTCCAAAACAAGAAATAAACGTTCTGCATTATCGCATAAAATCATTATAATTCTACCCATTTCAACGTTTTCTTGATAAGACTTTTGACTAACGGCGACCACACTTCCTTTCTTATAAAAATTACCTTTAAATTCAGCACTTGAACATTCAGTTGCTGGAATACACAGTTCCGAATTTTGTATGACTTTTTTTAGCTCTGTTGAATAGTGCTGAATAGAAAATGGTACCTCT